ACAGAATTAGGATCCGAGCAGTTTTGTTAAGTTGTAATTGAAACAAACTCACTACACAATGTATTGAAGAACAATTTCCCTCTGAAACAAGAAACTAGATCCCAATACAATTATCATCAAGTTTAGAGTGAAGGAATCCAAAGGGTAAAGAACCTGTAGCGGAAGCATTAAGATAAACACTGGTCTTTATATATTCATGAATTCAAAGGTCACATTTTGCCCTGCGTTTTAGTACCTGTATCACGCAACGTGAAGTTGTCAGTACATGCTCAGATTTTGTAGATTGTTCGCTGTCCATATCCAAAGATTGTAGGCTATGACCATCACTCTTGTTAAGCACCAGTTTTTATGATTCTGTATCCCGAGCACTGCAATCATTTCACTTCAGTTTGGAAGACTTTAGTGAGTGCTCTTTGACTGAACTTTTGTCATGTTTGTGTGAATTGTCACGAGCGATGTTTACCAGCTCGCCCCGAATTAATGGTGCTATAGTTTCGCCCCAACTTGCATGGACTTGGCATTACCCGTTTCAACGAATAAGCCTAACTTATGGAACTTTTTGCCTGTGTTGAAAAGTTTGGAGTAAAGTGGAGCATCACATTTACACTCTCAAACAGCTGTGCGACAAGTTAAGATTCAAATTCAGTGATTGCATAAACTTGGGAGATAAACTGTTAAAATTTCTACTGAACAGAGCTGTGCTATGTAACTAAAAATATTCTTGCACCGATGTGTGAGCTTTAAATGAAATTTCTGTATAAATTGGAAACAATGACTACTACTTTTGGAGAGAAAGAGTGCTACATCTGGGTTGAGTTTTTTGTGGACACTCTGTGTAAAACAGCGTAAAAAGTAAGCTTTTATTACAGGGATCTTAAATGTAGCTATAGATGACAACTCTATGGTGACTAGTAATGTGATTTCTGTATGACGTGCTCAAGATCAGGCTATGTGGAAAGAGAACAGTAATTTGACCCAATAAGCTTAATGTCAGTTCCAGGGAGCGGAGTAAAAACCGGCGATCCAAAGCACAGCTTATAGCTTTAGTTTTGGCAAGCAGAAGAAAATATTCTAGACCTATCATGGTAACATTTTTCATAATGTAAAAGTGAAGCTGGACAGTGGACAAATTTAGAGTGTTTCCCTCCTGCCTTGGCGAAACATAATTAAATTAAATAGTGCAGACTTTGTAGACAGCTGGCACCCGACTCTGGGTTGTATGTTTTCATAACAGCACAGTTTCAAACAAATTTCCCTGGAAATAAAACATCATTGGGCCTTGAAGGCAAAGGCTATACAATTATTAGGCATTGACACCTCAAGGCTAAGGCCAGGGCTTTTGCCTCAAGCCTTAAGACTAAGGCTAAGGCTTTAAAACCAAGCCTTAAGGCAGCGTTAATGTCAAGGCTCAACATTAAGGCACTGTACATCACTGATTGACTCACATAACTTGGCACCAGTACTAAACGTTGCAATTACAGCATTTGGGTTTGCCACCTCCTGCCCTTTTTTTTTTTTAGAATGGCTGCCCTTTAATTTTCTGTTTTTGGGGTAAGAGGATCATTAAGAGCTGGTGGAAACAGACAATCATGTGCTCGATAATGATGGTTTTTCTTTTCACATGCAAAAAATTTCTTATCACCATGGTTTGCACTATATACATAGAAACTTTAATAATAAGGGTCTCTTTAAAATTACTTTTAGACTATGGATTCTCTTTGAACTTGATTTGGCAATGACAAAGTGGACAGGGTTGTTTTAATGTCCTTTTCTTAAAATGTGGCGGACAGGCAGCAAATGCGGTGACGTTTCGTTTCCACTGGGTTGGTAAAAACATTCTGCCACGTTTCTGATACGGAATAATGCGGCTCCCTCTTGATAGAAAGACGCTTCAGTTTGGTTTCGCACTTTACATTACAACCGGCCGAGGTATGAAGGGTGCACATTGGCAACAAGTATGTGTAGAATGTTTAGGCATCTGGGCCTTTTCGCATTGGTAATTTGCCGGAACGTCTTCCTAACAGGTTTTATATTTACCTGAACAGAGACTGCACAACTTAGTTAAACATGTTTGATGTTTCTCAAACGAAGCAATCTCGAAAAGTGAAGTGTCTAACTCGAATTCGAATTTACAGGCTTTAATAAATGTTTTCATAGTGCTGAATTTGCGTACATGTACTAAAGCTCATGTAAACGAAAAGAAGATTCTTTTATAACGTAAAAATCAAACAGCTGCTATCTGGTCCAATTTTACTCTGTTCAGAAATTTGGTCTATATATCAAATTATAAAGGTGGTATATTGCTCGATAAAGTGACGGGCGGCATGTTTCGTTTTCAAACCAGAGGAATTTTTAAATGAGATCGGCATACCTTGACTATGAATACATATATTTTCCAAGCCGGTTGTATTTTTTCGTTTGGGGAATTTGTTTGAAATTGTGTACGATCTGGGTTCAAAATATGATTTTGCAACCTTGTTCATAGAGGCAAGTCCGAAAAAGGAGCTTTCACCCGTCAATACTTGAAGGAATTCCTTTGAGTAGAAACCACCAAGGAAACTGTTCACATTCTAGATATAAAAAGATGCCATTTTTCTATTATCTGACACGTTCCAGCCAAGACTTCACCCGAAGGGCTTTTATTCAGCTGTATGGTATTAGCTTACACATTTTGGAATTGGTACTTAATATACGTGGAGTTCTAGATCTTAGTTGAGTAGCTGTATTAGATTTGATTCAATTTACGGTGTAGACATCAGTTATTTATCTATCTTATCTTTCCCAAACTGTGGCATGCCATAAATGAACCGTATTTACACCATTAACATTCTAAAGGAAACATTTTAACAGTACGTTTTTAAACTGCACAAATCACAGACATGCCTACCAGGTAATTAGAACGAATGAGCAAACACACTTCGAAAAAGCGTCAGCGATATTGAATATTTTTGGTTGAATTGTTAATTTGGGTGACAATTTTTGTTTAATTAAATGAAGTAACAGTACTTTTGCTTACTTTTAAAACGAAATCGAGTGATCGTTTTTCGCGTGAAGTAGAATGGCACAGAGGTTAAATTGGCCGCTCCTTTGCCAAAATTGACTAGGAAAACCTTAAGTAGTCTTACATAATGCATTTCCTAGGAAAGTGTGGGCAATTAATATTTATCTAGGAAAAAAACTTGCAATGCACTACGAAATTTGAATTATTAATAACAATTATATTTTCATATTTGTATACTCGTGCATTTTCACATTATTCAAAATATTGAAACCTTTGATGAAGTGTGGGTACACGTGTGATAATATTGTCCGTGCAGTGAACGCGAGTTGCCTTAAGAAGTCACTGAAAACACCATAAATGCTTTTGCCATGTCCTTTTCGAAACATTTATTTTCTCTACGGGCAAGGACAACAGGCAGTCTCTGGGTCGTTTGACTCAACGATAGGTTACTAAAAATTTATGTCATGTTCTATCGATTCAGTCCGTCTATGGTTAGCACAATATATATTGTACCGCAAACATTCATTTATTGCAGCTCTGTTAAAGCAAGTGTTGAAGACTTTATGATGAAGACCCTTTTTAGCGATGATCTATTTTTGTCAAATTCAACTTCATACAATATCTTGTAACTTTGTTTGGCAATGTGACAAACTCGGCACATGATAGGGAGGGTGGGAGACCTGAAACCAAAAATCAACCCTCATCCGTACACATAATAAAGGCGCTTATTTATTATGAAATATTTGACTCGATTGCTCGTCACCAAATATATGATGTTGGAACAAATACATTATTTGAAAAACGCCTTTTCACGATATGGCAAGCTCTTGCATACTTGGAGTTCATTTTTCATGCCGTGTATGTGAGACGTAGGCCCGTACTTCAGATACAACGTAAATTTCCACCGGTGTGAAGCGTGACAGAATGGCTCCGAAAGCCAAATAATTAAATATTCAAACAACGTGACCATCACGACGTGGTCGTCGTGGATCATAAGTGATAGGAAAACTGGACGCGGTGAGAAATTAATTTAATGCAGGGAACTACGACTCATTTCTTTCTCATCTCACATTTTTTTATATCAACTAAAAAAGTAACACATTGTTTTTCAGAATATATCGTATCTTACTGTAAAGTCTTTTACAGGGATTCGGATTTCTTAGATTAAAAAGTGAGAATTATTTTTTGTTATTGTGACTTGGAGACTGTTCTTGAAATTGAATAAATTCTATTAAGATTAACGAACATTATCTTTCCTTTATTTTGATTAAAAGAAAATTATTTTTTGATGCCACACTTTGTGTCGTGCTTAACAGAAATCAAAAAAAAAAAGAAAAGAAAAAGAAAAAAGGAAATTCCGTCCAATTTCATTTGCATGCTGTCAATTTATTGTGTTAGCAATTCTTTCGAAACAAAACAGCGTATTCTGTTGCACACAAGCAATATATATTTCAAGGGAACTGCAAATTTTGTGTTTATTTTATAATATCTCATTTCAGTGTTTTAGCTCCATTTAGATGCCTTCCAGGTTCGTCCCGCATGTATTTTACACCTTTGAAGTTTAGAATGATTATCAGGTCAGTTCACAACCGTATCTACGTTATATACATCCCATTCGTGGTCTTTGACGGGCATGTATATTTACAGAATTTACACGCTACGCCTCATAAATATAAACAAATATAACATAATACTAACGCATTTGTCATTATAAAGTACATGTATTCAAAAAGAACATGCATCACGTACTGCACAAATTTATTACTGAAAACACTGGGCCAGTACCTCTTTTGACGCATTTGGGTACATTATAGGATTGCTTTAAGACTACTGAAACCTTGGTATTTCAAGTAAGCAGTTATTCAAATGGAAAAACATAAGTGTTTCCGAATCACAATTCGACATACAGTATTTGTCAGTAAATATCATTTGAAACATCGGCGAAATAATCTGTTGCAAGGGAGGATGGGGGAGGATGTCCTTTAATTCAGGAGCCTACCTTCTTTGATGCGGTGGAATATTCTATCTCTAGATTCATAGTCACGATACCCATTTCCTGCTCATCGAAGTCTGCGTTGTGTTCTTCTTGCCTCCTGCTTGCATCCTTCCATCTGGTGATCAGTTCCTCAGAAATCTCGGCAGCCCCAGAATGCAGAGAAACGAGCAGCAGCACGGCAGCAACGGAGGTAAGGGTTCTGAGGCACGGTATCTTGGCAGAGAGCGGATACCGTCTCGCCATCTTTTCTGACCCAAAGTGTGTTCGTATGCTGACAATTATCAGAGTCTTGAACACCAAAACAAAATCAAGCCAATGGTTACAGGGTTACAAGACAATGACTCAAGCAAGTAAGTGGAGTATATCTGATTTTTTTTGTACTGCAGGTCTCAAGTAGATTCAACAGACATGAAAAATTTAACGATGTCACCACCAATTTATACTGCACCATGCAGTTCTAATGTCTCCCAAGCAGGGATTTCTCGTGTGTTCGCGTGTGTATGTGTTTACATTAGGCCTAAACTGAATAAGTAAATTCCGTCCTATTTCGGTATAAATGAACAGGGCAATGCGACGACATCATCGCCCGAATCGAGAGGAATAAAAACACACTCCGCTCTACTATGTAAGCATCGTCTTCTCAGGGATTTTACGGCTTCGCTAGTCAATGGCGCTATCGTCTTGTCATGAATTATACACGATCCGCCTGTCCTGCATTTGCATTACACGTACCGAACCCCGGCATCACGGAGGAAATTTACAATTACTTATCAGGCCAGTGTCGTCATAGGCATCGCCTAGCAACGAAGATACCGTAGGGAAAAATCCATTATCAGGAATAGGTATTAGTTTTGTTGTGTTTAATAACGTGATGTGACAACGCACACGGGCACGCGCGTTGTTCACGTTGCTTTTGAAGCTCGTAGGAAGAGGCTATATACTTCAGTACTGTTCGTTGCCTATCTGAACTTTGTACAGGATAGAGTCTTAATTTGAAAATGCTTCCGAGTGAAATATCTTCGAATATCACCGTGCAAGAACACTTCTCGGCTGAGATCGACCGCTCTAGGAGAGTGGACTTTTCTGCCCGTTTCGCTGAAGATGACCCACAACGATCGTTATCTCAGTCTCAGAGGAAATGAATTTAGTATTTGGGGATGCGCGTGATTGATATCGTTGATAATGTTTTAGGGAAACAGCCATGATTTCTTTCGTGTATGTCATTTTTTGGGCAGTTTCCAACATGGTGTTACTTTTACTTGTGTGATGATTTAGCCAAAACAAAACTCATTACCCTCTTATACTTTCAGATCATTCATATAGAACTCTCGTGCTGTATTCAAGTCTTTATTCATTTGTGTTCATAAATTCGTTTGCAACACTAGGGTTACCTGTGATATTAAACAACCTACCATGGATGGAATCGTGCCCCCAAATCGCAAATATTTAGAACCTAAGTATGATGCAGTTCACTTCGATTTATATCCCTCGTCTACAAAAATAATAATTCTTTCTTTTCGTATAGTACTTTTGAACATTCTCCTTTACTTTTATAAAAGTTTCCATCGAGGTTTTCACATTGGACGACTTCCTCTACCCACGATGTTACAAAAATTGTTGCTTAAAAGTCTCTCCATGCTGATCAATATTGGGTAGGTAGTGCCCTCATGGAAGTATGTTGGGTCTTAGGTGTCCCATTCAGGCGATATTTGAGCAAACCTGACGAAGGTAAAAAAATACTCTCAAAAGCAGAGCACGAGCATTATCCAGTTATATGAACCAGTTACTTCTCTAGGGGTCATATCTCGGCAACTGGAACTGCCATAGTCATCCGTCAAGACGACGTGCTGAAGTATCCATGTAGGGACCTGAGGACAACTAAGGGTGCAGTGCAGTAATTCACGCCCCATTGAAAACAGCATCAAATACAAAGATGCTTGGCTAAACAGAGAGTCCCCTTGAAAAATACCTCTTCTTGTACCATCCTCAACCAGACCTTCATTCTTGGCTATCAGCATCATCCTCTAGGTCTTCATACTGATGTCAACCAATAGCTTCACCCTTTCAGCAGGCCCCACTTACTTCAAACACTCCATAATTCACAAACAACATTATAGTAGTCAATCCACGCCATCGACAAATTAGAGTTCCTCTTCTTACAGTCTTTCATCACAGCCTTGCCAATCACCAACTGATTTTTCGTTCCTCTTGACGGTTTAATTGCATCCCTTCTACTCGTCTAAAAACAAAGTATTCTCCTCCAAGAAACAGCACAGATCCTCTGCTATCAGACAAGTCAAGAGCTTGTTAATAACCTGAAGCCAAGTAACAGGTCTGTAGTAGTGCTTGCAACATTTCCCTCCTTGACATCATTCACAAGCAACTCGGTCATCCACGTTTGTAGGCCCCATGCAGGAGACACTTCTGGAAATACTCTTCACGCTACAATATGCTCTGCTGAAATTTCTAGCAGATACCAATGAACTTGTATCGATCAATTTCCAATTTGGCATTTTCCTTAACTGCTTCTTGACTCTTTTCACAGTTTTCTCATTCTTCGCCTACCTAGGAATAAACCTTTTTCCCTCTTGTAGCCACTCTGCATGATCGTTGTGCTGGTTTTACTTATCCTAAATTCCTCTCTAGAGAACCTTCGCCTCAGCCGCTTTTGGAACTTCCTAAGCATTATCATCCGTACCATTCCGTTCCCTGAGCAGCCGTCTTTGGTTGGACCTTAATAGACTATTCTGACGAAACTTTTTTATATTCTGTTGTCATATCTCTCATTGTCGGCGCTTTTGCCTTAATCCGCTTCCTCATCCCTTATCTTGCACTCGGTACCTAGTCACTAGCTTATCTTTCATATTATACTTTTTGATAGTTACATTTACCTTTACTCAGTTCTCAGGAATCCATAGAAAACGAGAAAAACACTGAAACAAGATACAAACATCAATAACCAAGAAGACGGCACAAAAATAAAAGAAAAACCAAGCATCTCCTGAAGGACCACCCAAACGTGCAAAGTTTCTGTTTCCGGGCACTCCCAACTGCTAGGTTTTTTCATGAATGAAACTAAAATAGTTGTATTATTAAAATAAACACGTACTTACAAAAATATAAAACGCTAACAAACCAAGCAAAACAATGACACTGGAACAAAACAAATTAAAGTAGAAGAAACGAAATGAAGCAATTTGACGAAAACTGTAAAACAAGCAAACCGTAAACAAACAAGAAAAAATAATGCATAAATACGATTAATCATAAAAGAATCAGTACAAAATACATTTAAAATAAAAACTATGCTTTAGACAAACTGTACGCTTTAGACACAAACTACGCTTTAGACATAAACTGAGTCTTGTAAAACAAGGAAAAAACCATTTTATCTATATAAAACACAACTTTAAAATATAGGCCTAAGTGTCAAGCATAAAAGGGGAGACAAGGGATGCACGGAAGAGGAAAGACAACATTTAAACAAAAACTCAGCACTCAAAAGAAAACAAATCCCCTACTTGAGCGACATCCTTCTGGAATTTGTACAGTTGTCGACCACTGAAATTTTCTTATATTCCCGACCGAATCCGTCGGGCACTGTTCAGTAATTTCCAAAAGACCCCTCCGCTGGCACATTTCAAACACGTGCCTCTTATATCCTCTTCATTTCGGTCTACTACTTTTAAATAACACTTTATCGCTGTTAGATCACTTTTCTGCCCTGCTCCACTTTCTCCTTACTCCTGCCCTAATCCTACGATTTTTTTGAGCAATGTGACTACAATCTGGAGATACCTACCCAGACGCACCATCTAGATCGGATGGATGGACCATGCCTAAGAAACCTTGCCTTTTTAACACCGTTGATCTCCTGCCGTAAGACACACAATATCATCAAACTGCAGTAATATACAAATACGATGCGTAAGTACGCAGATGGCGCACATGACTTATGAAGGCTAACAATACAGCCAACAATGAACATTTAAGAAAATTAAAAATCCAAAGGTTTTTAACACAAAAAGTTACAAGATCTTCAGCGACCAGTGCCAGTGACTTACTCAGTGGTGGCTGTAAACTACAGTCCACAACCAGAGAACTTATCTTTTCAAATTGGTCGCAATGAACCTTTACATTCTACATTTCCAGAACCTGCTTAAGAGCGTGCTTTCACTATTTGTCCTTGACCTCGATCCCTCGTTTCGTAACACACATCACAGTGAATCACTTTGACTAGCTTGTCATGCCTCCCATTGTATTCAGTCTGGGACATTTTGCTACCTTCAGAAATCAAGAGCAAATACAGTCTCCGCTTTCTCCTCACATATCCTACACATTAGAGATACGTCAGCTCCTTCTGTCCTGCCTTCATCACGTTCACCCGCAGTGCTTGATCCTGTGCAGCAGTAATCAAACCCCCATTTTCTTCTACAAGTCACCTCTCTTAAATTATATCCACTCCTCTGGTCTTGTTCCTTGCCGCCTTTTCTGTGTCCTTCAGACATTTGCCATGGAGTGGCTTCCCTACCCAATCTTTATTCCTTTCCCTGCTATATGCACCAGCGTCCACTTCCCCACGACGTTACTATCCTCAGCAATCCATCCAGCGCACTAGAAACATGAAGACATCTCTTTTCTACGCTTACACAGTCCGTCACGCTCATCAGTCCCGGTCCTCCTTCGGTCCCCTGCGAGTACAGCCTGCTAATATTATCCCTTGGATACAGCATATCATAAATCATCATCGATTTCCCCTTCATCCGGTCAACAGACTCCAACTCCACCTTGGTCCAGTCAACAACCCCAGGACTGTACCTCATCAGTAACACAGCCTAGGTATTGACCACCTTCACAGTAGGCCCCTATTCAGCCTCGACTTAAGACACTTCTTTGCCCCCTACTCATTCAAGAACATCGAAAAAAATGTAAAGGTTTATAACACTAAAAGTTACATACCTCCAGTGAAAAAGGCCAAAAACTTGCCTAATGGTGACTATGAACTATAACCTACCACCTAAGGTAAATTCCTTTCTGGCTCTGCTAAAATATACCAACCGAGTACATGTACGTCAAATTCCAATTCACTATTACAATACTCCAGTATTGCCAATGCGAACCAGAAAAGATTGCCTGAAGGCAAGGTGTTGTTACGCACCCCCAAATCTCGTTGTTGGAATTCTAGCGCCCCTTAGTTTTACTCGTTCTCGTACCTTGCATTCGGAGAGTTTTTATTTTAACCCAACTATGCATTATGGAAATATAGCAGAAACGCTAATTTTGTATTTAGTTATTCATGCTATACTCTGGCGTGATCATACGAAAGTCTATTAGTGCAATGGCAAGTAGGCTCCCCCTATGTGTTTATAATTCGTCATTACGGATTATTGAATTCATAATTACGGATTATTAACTCGTAATTACGGATCATTAATTGGTTATTACGGATTATTTAATTCGTAATTACGGATTATCAATTTGTAATTACAGATTATTAATTCGTTATTATGGATTATCATTTCGTTATTACGGACTACAAACGTTCCTATTCTCACTCTGCAAGTATGGCACGACGAGATTGAGAGCGGTTTATTCGAGCGAACACTCTGTCGTAAATTGCGAAATCTTGGTCTCTTTCGTAGAAAAATCACACACATGTGATAGATGTTTCCTGTTTTCTACAAGAACAGTTGCATAAGTCAGGAAGCTTACACGGTTACTGATGGATGCACCTGAAGTGCATCC